GCACGAGAAGTGCAAAAACGCATAATCGCACCGGCCCGCCTGGTGCGTTCCAGCCTGGGTTTATTCACAAAGCCGTGCGTGGCCTGAAAATACGTTCCGACATCCCAACACTCTGATTTTCGTCATTCTAAAGTTGAGTCGTTGCGAAAAAAGAGTAGGTAGGCAGATACGCACACGTGTATGATTTCGTTAAGATGCGTTTTTGAGACTGGCACAAAACGTGTAAAAAAGAAGTCAGAGTGGTTTGCCATAAGCTACCTCTCACCAGCTATTAGCTGATGGCGGTAATTACTTTCAAGAGCAGTAACCAGGCAACTAACATTTTAAAAGAAATGATGAATAATGAAAGGATTTGGCAGTGCTGTTGAATGTTTGGCACATTATTTAGAACAATAAAACATGCAACTAGGCTCTCTTTTACTAAAACTGGGGACAATTTTATGATTGTCTGGTCGTGAACGTTACGATTAGGTGAAAAGGGCTTAATAATGCTTAGTCAGTAAAGGACTAAACACAAAATTCCGAATTTGCAGTTTTGTTTGTTCTCGAGTTATAATATGAGTTTAGACGTAAGGCCATAGGTCAGGGAGCGGAGTTAAATGTAAAGTGATTTCAGGCCTGTGAATTTCTGTGCTGTCAATTTTTTTTCAAAATTCAATGCTTGCTCCTGTTTTGTTCCTTGAATTAAAAAATTTTGAACATGAGCCTTAATTTGAAGACAACATCGTGAGTCAAGACTCGTAAGAAGGTTATTTTAGGTGTATGGTTTCGTGAACGGTCAGAACTTCGAGCTTGTAAATTTTCAGCCTCTGAGTTCCAAAATTCTGTTTGAATTGGACCTGAAATCAAATTTCAAGCTATAAGCCAGTCTAAAAGTCGTTTTTAGGGTTATAATATCGCAAACAGTCGAATGCTGTTATTAAAATCTCTAGTAGGTTTGTCAGATAATGACAAGTTAGTCGAACAGACAGACAAAAAAAAATCGCACACAGGCATGTTGCTTGAACACATTTTTGTGTTGCATAATTGATGCAAAAACAAGTGAAAGCTTGAAGCCCATACATAGCACGACGTATTTCCGGCAGTGTTTTTTGCAGGCTACTAGCGTCTACTAACTCTGCTTTCAGAAATCCGTCTCTAGTAGGTGTTATCTACCAAACAATGGAATGGTTTTCGATTGGATTCATCGCATCAGTTATATTTTTTGAACTTGGAATCGGAAAGCCTCAAAAGCGCTGTGACATATTACATTATGAGCAGTGCTGCACTCCGTCAATCTACAATAAATGCTTCCATAAGGTAAAAATGTGTTAGTTTTTGTCATTGCAATGGGTATTTTTTTATGCGCTTGTATTTCATCTTCTGCAAATGCTGCCTAGGTAGCGATGCACCAGGCTTGCCAATACAGTCATTCACTTCCTGTTATTCTGTCCTGTTAAGAGACTGCTTGTGTTACTGGAATGTGACTGCAGTGTTAGAACTCGAAAATTTGATGCGCCTGTATGCAAGGCCTATGCCTAAGCAGACATTTCGCCAGCGATGACAAATTTTCAACTTTGACATGTCCGTATGCATGATGTAAGCGCTCGCTGAGGTTGAATTTTAACTCACACAAGGACATAGAACACCTCTGTGAAACTTCAATTTTTTGCTTTCTCTCGTTTCCGAAATCGCCGTGCCAAAAAATTTCCACGAATTATTTTAGGAGTCTGTACGTGAGACCCAGGCGTAGGCGGATTTGATTTCAAGCTGCTTGGATAGGATATGGGCTCAGAACACCCCCTGTAAAATCTGGGTTCTTATCTTTTGCACTTACTGAGTTAAACGTAGATAACAATAACTGGCCAACGCACGGGCTGTCCGTGCGATGGTGCGTTTTTTGCATAGTTTCCCGCAGTTTTTGTCGCTTCCGGCATCGGTTTTTTTCGGCAGATCCTTCTAGCTAGACAAATTAAGACTGGCCGCCAAAACTGTCAGGAAACACCCCCTTAAAATTCCAGCTTTCTAGCTTTCCTGGCCCCTGAGTTAGCAACTTACTGAAAAAATTTTCCACAAGCCCGCACGCAGGTACCACGCATACCCGATGTCTGGGTTTGAGCTCGTTGTGACGTACTTTCACGGGGAACATCTTCCTAAAACTACAGTCTTTTAGTTCTTCAGTTCCTCGGGTTATGAACTTACCCGAGAAAAACTTTGGTGAACCCGTGCGTAAGTACCATGCATGACCGAGGGCTGGGTTTGAGCTCGTTGGGACTAATGTGGACGGGGAACATCCTTTTAATATTGCAGTCTTCTAGCATCTCAGATCCCCGAGCTATGAACTCACCCGGGGAAAATTTTGGCAGGCCCGTACACGGGTACCGCGCTCACCCGGGAGTTGGGTTTCAGCTCATTAGTACCTACTTGGACGGGGAACATTCCCTTAAAATTTCAGCTTTCTGGCATCTCAAATCCCCGAGTTATGAACTTAACCGGGAAATATTTTGGCGGGCCCGTACGCGGTTACCACGCTTACTCGGGGGTTGGGTTTGAGCTCATTAGTACCTACTCGGACGTGGAACACTTCCATAAAATTTTAGCTCTCTAGCTTTTCTGGTTCGCGAGTTAGCAGCTTACTCGTAAAAAACCTTGGCGGGCTGTTACGTGAGTACCACGCGGAAAAGACCGCCCATTTTGGGGATATGGGCCCGTACGTGCATGTAGATTAAGCCCCCAAAGTTTCAGCCTGTAGCTTTTGTGGGTCTCGAGATGAAAAATCGGTACAGACACGCACCGCACACACACACACATACACACACAGACAACCCCTCGTCAATATGCGTTTTTCGCATTGCATAGCTGCAAAAAACGCATAAAAACTCGAACACATACAAACATGCACGTACACATCATGGGCGGTTATAATATGCATTTTTGCACTCGCAAAAATATACAAAAACGCACAACTAGTGCACTTTGCTCCAGCTTCTTTTTTCTTCGCTCTCCCGAAGTCTTTTTTTATGCGTTTTTGCTGTGCAGCTGCAGCGCTGCTACAGCCAGCAAAACGCATATTGTCAAGAGGTCGTGGTCGTCTCTGTATGTGTGTGTTCGGATGCAAGTGCATTTTGTCATTCACTTTCATCTTAGCTATCAGGTAAGCTGGGAGGCTGAAATTTTGGGCATATGTTCCTACCCAGTGTGTTGCCCTCCCGTTTTGAGACCTTTTCCCAAACGCGCCTAGACCCCGCGTATGGACTCCTCAAAAAAATTCGCAAATTTTTTTGGTGGGAAACGGTTTCGCGAATCAGGCAAGGTACAAAGCTGAAAGTTTGCAGCGATATTCTCTATCCATGTGCGAGCTGATTCAAATTCAGCTGTCGCGCACGTTTGTGAAGCGCGTACAATCGCGTCACAGTTTGCAGCTTGGCGCTGCGCTAACTCGAAAACTTGCCGAAAAACAGTGGCTGAAATTTTGTGAGCATATTTATTGCCCATAAAGGAAATCGTATACCTAAATGAGAACCGATTTGCACTTGCGCCACGACTCAGAACACTTCAAAATATTTGTAGCGAAGTAAATATTTAAATATTTCACTTACTGGATAAGCTGCGAGACTGAAAATTCACTAGGATATTCTACTTTCAAGTGCGGTCTTAATTCTGCTTGAAGGTGAAATCCCCTGCAGGTAGGCGTGAGAAATGCTCAACTTTAGCGAAAAATCAGAAGCGAGTGTGTTTTGCAGCGAGCGACTGCCCTCATCCAAATATGTAAATGAAGATTCAGTTCATACGCATACTTGGATTTTTTGACAAATGACCGTTCGACCAATACTTCCACTTTTTAGTGAGCTGAAAATTTGCATTTTTTTCAAAAAATTTGCATTCTTCATTTCTTCAAAAAGCAAGCATTTACCGAAAAGGACGACCGAGCTTCATGCAAAAAACTGGCAATAGTGCACCTGGAGGTCCGTGCGTCTTTATAATGCACCATCTTCACCCTAACCGACGCCCTTCCTCCTGCATGCCGGGAAGGGCCAAAACTCGGCCAATATGAGCCCAAGTGTTAGGGTGCACCGCAGGGGTCATTCCTGCTATTAGCGATCTGCGAGATTAGTGCAAAAACGCATGACCGCACCCGCAAGCCTGGTGCATTCCAGTCTGGGTTTCTCCAGCTTGCGTTTTCATCGGACGACCAATCACGGAAAATATTCACCTCCCTCCACACAAAATCTACAAAAACTACACATGTTGTGGTTCAATCCCATGATGCAAAACTATCGTCTCAGCTGGTGCCCTTTTTGTTTTCGCATGCAAGAAAAGGCTAAAACATAGTTAACACGAGTGCAAGATTCTAACGATTTATTGCATTGGAACCGACACATGTGCAAGAGTGTTTCGGTTCATCATTTATTTGCCTAAGGGCCCTCCAAGTTAACTTAAATATCAGTCTTTTCAGTGCCATCACTGGGCATCGCTGAACTGCTTTCAAGATCGACTTCACCGAGATCAAGCTGCTGATCTGGTTGATACGGAATTATCATCCCCACCTACTCTCGCTGAGCATAAAATTGATGAAAATGCTGTATTTGGCGATTTGGAGGAAGTGTATGATGTTGATGAGATGGTACGGCGTGTAACCCATAAATCCAGAAACTAGTGGATGGGGGGCTGCTGTAGTTTGTAGTATTGTATTTGGCCACCTAAAACTTCAGCCAAACTTGCCGGCGGAAAAACTAAGCAGTCAGCTCTCGAGTTATCCTGAAACAAAGAAAAAGAATTGCCTTCAACTGGCCATTTAAAGCAGTTCCCTCAAACAAAAAAAAAACCTTCCTTCGACTGCCAGATAAAGAGAAATGTGAAAGTGTATTTTTGGTGACCGATCTTTTTTTTAGTGGGTAATAAAAGACTTCATCTGTCTGGCGAAAGGGTTGGGGTGGTGGCAGAGGAGGAAATAAGGTGGGAGGGGGGAAAGGAGAGAGAGTGGGAGAGAGAAGACGCATTTTTATGTGTTTATTACATCTGTGCAGTGGAGATAGCGCATATTGACGAGGGGTTGTCTATGGTGCGCTTCTGTACCGATTTTTCTTTTCGAGACCTACAAAGGCCACAGGGCTGAGACTTTGGGAACTTAATCTACATGCATGTAAGGGCCCTCATCCCTGAAATGAGCAGTCTTACCCGCGTGGTACCACGTACAGGCCTGCCAAAGTTTTTTTCGGGTAAGTTGCTAACTCGAGAACCTCAAAAGCTAGAAGACTGAAATTTTAAGGGGATGTTCCCCGTTCGAGTAGGTATTAGTGAGTTCAAACCCAGCCATTGGGCGTGTATGATATTCACGTACGGGCCTGCCAAATTTTTTTTGGGTAAGTTACTAACTCGGGAACCTGAAAAGCTAGAAGACTGGAATTTTAAGGGGATGTTTCCCGTCCACTTAGGCCCTAATGAGTTCAGACCTACCTCCCGAGTTTGCGTGGTTCTTATGTATGAGCCCGCAATAGTTTTTTGCGGGTAAGTCGCCAACTCGGGAACCAAGAAAGCTATAAAGCTGAAATTTTAAACGGGTGCTTCCTGACAGTCCTGGCGGCCAGTCTCAATTCTTTTAGCTAGAAGCATTTGCCCGAAAAACCGGTGTCGGTAGCGACAAAAACTGCGGGGAACTATGTAAAAGCGCATTTTTGCACTGACAGTCGGTGCGTTTGCCAATCATTTTGTTCCTGAGTGGCGGCATACTGGAGGAAGGCAAAAATTCGACTTTAAAAAATCAAAATTCAGGTTAGAGACACAGGTGTTATTCAAAGAGGCAGGCAGCTAGTCGAACGGTGTTTTATTTTGCCAGATTAATTTAAATTAAATGAGACATTGTACCTAGTCACTGGCCTGCTAGGAAGTTTTATAATACTTTAACAAAGGCTGGAACGCACCAGGCGAGCCAGTGCGATCATGCGTTTTTGCATCAAAACTAAAGTAA